AAAACTCTGTCTGAAAAAAAAAAAAAAAAGAAATAAAGAAAAATAAATAGCATAAAGTATCTAGCAGGAAAAGTGCACATGATATCACAAAAAGATAGAGACTGTCAGCTCATTTTCCACCTCCCCTTGTAACTGCTGTGAATTCCTTCCAAAATGGTGAAAACCCTTTTCACGGCAACTTATGTTCCTGGCCAAGGGTTTTCAAGTCCATGTCTTTTTCTCAGTGGAGGATGCTTCCTTCCCTGCCACAGGACCAAGGGCGCATGACCCAGCAAGGTGGCATTTTTCCACAGGGCCCAGCACACTTGCTGAGGTCCCAGCACAGGTCCTGAGGTCTTGTCTGCTTCTCCCCTCCCCTCCAGTCCACGGGTGCTGCCTCCACACCTCAAGGTCTCTCTTATGTGCTTCACAGAAGTATCTCTGGTCCCATTTGGGGTGTGGCCCGAAAGCCCTTCTTGCTGACAGGGTGCTCTTTTCATGAGGGAGAGTGGCACTTAAGTTTGTCAAGCAGACACATTCTGACAAGTGCACAAACTGGGTTTTGGGTTTTTTTGAGACAGGGTCTCGCTCTGTTGCCCAGGCTGGAGTGCAGTGGCACAATCTCAGCTCACTGTAGCCTAGACCTCCCAGGATCAAAGGATCCTTCCACCTCAGCCTCCCAGCTAGCCAGGAGGACTACAGGTGCATACCACCACGCCTGGCTGATTTTTGCATTTTTTGTAGAAACAGGATTTCACCATGTTGTCCAGCCTGGTCTCAATCTCTTGGGCTCAAGGATCCGCCCTCTTTGGCCTTCCACACCCGGTCAAACTGGGTTTTTGTAAATGAAAACTGTGCTTCCCCAATGGAACCCTGATCTCTCCAGGATGTGTTTTTTAAATTTGAAACACTTTTTTTTTTTCTTTTTTAGTTTCTCTGTCCCATTTTCCAAGCTGTCTGCTTATAAGAACCACAGAGAATGCTGGCAAGCTTGTCTGATCCCTGCTATATAGCACAGTGAAATAAACTGAGCCCAAAGCCCAGAGAGAGGCCTTGCCCAAAGTCACACAACTAACAACCACAGCTTCCCCTCAAGGGGAAGAGGACAGGGAGAGGGAGGCATGGAAGCAGGTGTCTGGAAGCTCAGAAGCCAGCACTGGCCCCTTTCCCACGGGGGTGGCACAGGAGGATGGGAAGGCCCTGGCTGCACAGGGCTCAGTCCCTCACTTCCCAGCTTCACAGCTTTGAACAAGTCCCTCAACCCTCCTGAGCCATCGGTAAATTGGTGAATAATGTCCACACTGGCTGACCTCACAAGGAATCCAGGGCCAGAATGGGCATGAAATCTCTTTGTAAAGGTGAGGGTAAGGACATGAATATCAAGTCCTTAGTAAAGATAAGCAGGCTCAAGAGTGGGGATGAACAGTTGTGTCCATGGTTTTGCTGCCCAAAAGCCTATCTCTCCTGCAGGCGTCAGGAGCGACAGCGCTTTGCTGAGTACCAGGCAGAGCTGCAGGGCATCCAGCACAGGGTGCAGGCCAGGCCCTTCCTGTTCCAGCAGGCCATGCAGGTGAGGCTGGCACCTGAGCAAGCACACAGCTGCCCGCTGCGAAGAGCTGGCTGAGTGGTTAGGGAAGCAGCATGGGCATAGGTCCCTGCAGATAGGATCCCGGGGCTGGGGAATCACTGGGACCCACTCAGTAACCAGAGCCCCAGCTTGCCCTTGGCAGCCCTGGTGCAGAGCGGGAAGTCCTTTTCTCTCTCCTCAGGCCAATGCCCGTCTCACTGTCACCCGGCGCTTCTCCCAGGTGCTGTCAGCACTGGGGCTAGATGAGGAGCAGCTGCTGGCTGAGGCAGGAAAGGGGGAAACAGCGGGCACCCCCAGAAAACCCAGGTGAGTCCCCCGGCAGGTCAAGAACTGGCTCTGCCACGCTGCTGCAGAATGGGGCGCCCACACCAGCACTCTGGGCTCTGGAGGGCCTCCCCTAAGCCCTGTCCTCCAGGTCACCCAAGGAAGTCTAGGCCAGGGCTGTCGTTCCCACTTCTCAATGAGGAAATTAAGGACCTGACGGGCAGGGCCTTGCTTAAGGACACAGGAACGAACAAACAGCAGAGTCAGTCTGGGAGTCTGCAACCATCTGAGCTGCCGCACACCAAGCCCTCATTAGGGGCTGGCACCACCACACTGGTTACTCCTTGGATACCTCTCTTATGCCTTAGAATAACCTGGTACAGAGCAGGGACTATGAAGCCCACTTGACAATCAGGAAAGTGAGACTTGAGAAGGGAGAGTCACTTGCCCAGGATCACACAGCAAGCCAGTATAGGAGCAGGGTTTGAAGCCACATTGTCAGTGGTTTCCGTGGGCATGAGGGTGGCAGCTGAAGAGCTAGGGGCCTCTATCTGTGTCTTGAAGGAGCCACAGGCCAATGGGGGTGAGAATGAAGCACTCTCCTCAGAGCCCCCCAAGGAAAGAACCCACCGGCAGCCAGCCTGACAGGCACAACACCCCCAGCCTGGACCCGGAATGCAGTCCCTGAGATAAAAATTAAAGGCTTTATGGCAAACACAGCGTGGGATTTCTGGCGGTGGTGGTGGTGGAGGCTCCAGGTTGGAAGTGAGAGGTGGCAGGTGGGTGGGCAGCAGGCTTAGCTCTGTCCCCACATCCCCCCCAGGAGCTCTGGCTCTTTTGGTTCCCCTCATCCAGCACACACAGCCACTTCTCTCCTCCTGAGGAGTGGGGACATCTCAAAGGGCAAGAACTGTGACTTCTCCACCCCATCCTCAATGTATATGCTGGGTCCTAGAAATTCAAGCGTGAATAAGATGGAACGACTCCCGCCTCTGAGGACGCCCAGTCAGTGGGAGAGGGGGTGGACCCTCATAGGGGTGCATACAACATACCCTAACACAGGCTGACTTGTGCCACACAGGGAGCCACATACTGAGCAACCATTGGGTGGGGGGAGGGGTTTCAGAAGGGAATGTGTGCATTGGGCTTTTTAAGTTCCAGTAGTTTTAACTTAGGGATCCTCTCCTCAAGAAAAAAAAATCATACACACAGATGTGCCATATTTTGCATTCAATTTCAGGGGTTCCACGGACACCCTGAAGCCCATGTGGAGCTCCTTAACAGCTCACAGGTTTAAAAAATCCAATCCAGGGCCGGATAGAGTGGCACACGCCTGTAATCTCAGCACTTTGGGAGGCCAAGGCAGGTGGATCGCTTGAGCTGGACAACATAGTGAGACCCCCGCCCCCATATCTACAAAAAAATACACAAATTAGAGGGGCGTGGTAGCGTGCGCTTGTAGTCCCAGCTACTAGGAAGGCTGAGGTGGGAGGATCACTTGAGCCCGGGAGGTCGAGGCTGCCGCGCACTGTGATCGCGCCACTGCACTCCAGCCTGAGGAACAGAGTGAGATCCTATCTCAAGAGAAAAACAACCCAGGTGATGTGGGAAGGGAGCGTTCCCTGAGGATACTGGTTATAGGGAGTCGGAGGCTGGACTATGTAATTGGAGATCTCGGGAAAACAACACCCGTTGGAGCCACGAACCCAGGAGTCCAGGAAGCGAGCGCCCATTGTAGGAGGGAGGTGTGTACGGAAAGACGGTGAGGTAGTGAACGCCCCGTTGCTGGGGAAGTACAAGCACAGGGAGGCCAAGGAGGAACTTCCAGCCTCGAAGACACTGGCTTAAGGTGTCTGAACACATTTGATGGTGTTCAGTAAAGTTATTTGCCGTTTGTGAGGTGGGTGGAGCAGGTCTAAGTCCTTCTAGTTTTGGGATCCCATCTCCGGGATTAATTTCGCGTCACTTGAGGAGCGCATGCGCAACGGGACCACCGGCTCAGAGATCCCACAGGGCCCAACACCGCGCGAATGCGCAGTGGAGCCCTGATCCCAGCCCTCCCATGAGCCTCTGGGGCAGGCTCCAAGGCGAGCGGCGGAAGCAGCCGCTCTTAGTTTTCCGCAACACGACAGCGGCTGCCGAGCGACCCGGAAGTGTTCCCATTTTGCGTTGTCTGGGCTTGGCGGCGGCCGGGCTCGGGGTGGACGTGCCACTATGGGGTCGTCCAAGAAGCACCGCGGAGAGAAAGAGGCGGCCGGGACGACGGCGGCGGCCGGCACCGGGGGTGCCACCGAGCAGCCGCCGCGGCACCGGGAGCACAAAAAACACAAGCACCGGAGTAGCGGCAGTGGCGGTAGCGGCGGCGAACGACGGAAGCGGAGCCGGGAACGTGGAGGCGAGCGCGGGAGCGGGCGGCGCGGGGCCGAAGCTGAGGCCCGGAGCAGCACGCACGGGCGGGAGCGCAGCCAGGCAGAGCCCTCAGAGCGGCGCGTGAAGCGGGAGAAGCGCGATGACGGCTATGAGGCCGGTGAGGAGGCGGGGCCTGCGCAGGGGGCGGGGCGGGCAGGGGTCCCGAGCGGGCGGGTCTGGGTGTGCGCGCAGTGTCTGCGAAGCTCTCGAGGCCGGGAAACCCCGAGGCTGTCTACGTCAGCTCTTATTAAATAGTTTTCTACGGCATCTCTCAAGCCCAAGAGTTAGAGGCTGCAGTGAGCTGCGATCGCGCCAGATGCACTCCAGTCTGGTGAAGAAAGCGAGACTCTGTCTCAAAGAAAAGTATTTTCTATGGTTGTTTAGGATTAGAGATTGACTTTCTCCACCTAGCTCCTTGAAGACCGAGGGCTTCTGTTTTCCTCAGTTGTCTGGTACAATTACAGATCCTCAAAAAATGTGTTGAATGAATGAATGAAGTAATATCAGCTTATGCAGAGGCAAGAGAAACCTGGCATTGGACGAATCGTGTAGGGCTCGTGGTAGCGAAATGAGCGAGTAAGATAAAGATGGTTAGGGATGTGAACACAAAGGACCGCGTACTGTAGGCTTCGTATCTATAAGAAATGTAGATTGTCTTGTTGGTGGTAGGGAGCCATGGATGTGAGTTGAGGAGTGAGTTGCTCAGATCTGTATTTTGTAAACATCGCTGGATTGAGAACTTAGTCAAAGGTAGTCAAGATTGGAGACCAGTAAATCAGGATGGCTATAGACCACGTGAGGGCTAATGGTAGCCTGCACCAAGGCAGCAGCAGTGGGATGGAGAGAAGTGGACAGATTGGAGAGGTGTTTTGGAGGAGGAATGAACAGAACTCTTCTATGAGGCTGGGAGGGAAAAGGCATTGAGAATGACTCCTTGAATTTTGGCTTGAGCAGCCAGATGGGCTGTGGGTGTCATCTCTACTGAAACTGAGGAGTAGAGAAGAGAAGCAGGTTTGGAGGGGGATGAATAATTCACTTTTGGGGTTGTCGAGGTTGAGTGCATGTGAAAAGCCAGAGTTTGGACTGGATAAAGCCATTGGGAGTCAGTATCTGGGTGGCCAGTGAAGCTTGTAGAGCTGATGGCCCACGGGGTCGTGGGGTGTGCCTGTGCTGTGCTGAGGCGCAGGATCCGAGGAATAAAGAGATGGGACACAGAAGTACAGGGAAAATGCAGCTGGGCTCGAGGGGCCATGCCCCTATGAGCGGAGTCAGGTGAGGCCCCGAATGTCCAGAAGCATGAGTATTTATTGTGTATAGATTAGGGGGGCAGGGCAGTGAGTGGAGTCATCTTTAAGGGTAGTGATACGGTCGTGAGCAATAAAACAAGGGGTCCACCCCCATTAGGTCACCTAGGCTGGGAGGTGGACAGTGCGCAGCAAGGAGTCCATTCCCATTAGGTCATCGAGGCAAGGGCCATGTACAGTAAGGGGTCCATCCCCATTAGGTCACTGAGGCATGGAGGTGGGCCATGTTCAGTGAAGAGGGTGCAGTGTGCAATACCTCTATCTATGGGCAAGCTACTAAGAAGATTTATAGGAGGATACTTTAAGTCACATAGCAGTGACAGAGCTGTCAGGGTCTGTGCTAACTGCTGGCAGCTTCCAATGAGTTCTATAGGGGAATGCTTTTCAAGCAGCACAGTAGCAAGAGCTGATAAAGTTCACCGTCACCAAGGTGTGATTGCCGGTCTGAGGGCAGCCTTCCACAAGAACTGGAGCAAGGTCCTACAACTCCTTTATCAGGAGGAGTGGCTCTTGCCCCAAGCCTGCCATACTGCGGGTATCTTTATAATATTGAACGCTGCCGCCTAGGTCATGGATTCTTGTCCTGGTATAACTGTTTTTCCCTTAAATCATCCTGTGCACTGTGTCTGCTCTAGGCATTCCTCCGATTATAAGCTGCTTATTCCTTAATTCATGCTCTGTACTGTGTCCACTCTAGGCATTCCTCTGATTATAAACTTATATATAGTTATATATGTATATATATGGAAAAAACTGAGTGGTAAGATATTCTTTAGGCACTCATTCTATGAACTAATGTGTGATCATCTAGAGAGGATTGTATAAAGGGAAATAGCTGAGTAGTAACACTATAAACAGATACTCTCCAAGCCCTAATTCTATAAACTAATATACAATTATATAAAAGGAAATAACTGAGTAGTAACACTATAAACTGAGATATTCTCCAGGTCTTAATTGTGCCAGGATTCTGCTTATCTCTCCTTCCTTGGTACCTATATGGGGGGTTACCCACAAGGCTCATGTGACATGAGAAGCCAGGGTCAGGAATAGAACCTGAGAAATGCCCTTATTTTAGTATTAGGCAGAGAAAGATGTTACAAAGAAAAGGAGATAGTAACCAAAAAGCAGGAAAACCTTTGTGTCATGGGATCTTTAGAAAGGGTATTGTTAGAAGGAGGGAGTGATCAACAGTCCCACACACTACGAGAGATCAAGCAAAACCAGAACCGAAAAGAGCCCATTAGATTTAGAAATGAGGAGGCTGGTGGCCTTGGAGAGCACCTGGAGAGATTGGGATCCAGGGCCCAGGTTAAGAGAGGAGCCTTTGAGATAAAGGCAAAGGTAAGATGCAGGATAGGATTGCAGGAAAGGAAGAGCTCATGGTGGCAGCTGGTTGAAGGAGTTCATCTGAGGGTGTTCAGTAAGTGATTTGCTGTTTGTGAGGTGAGTGGAGCAGGTCTATAGTGCTTATTTATCCATGTCCTCAGCGTCTAGCACAGAACAGGCACCAATAAGTGTTTTTTGACTCCCTGAGTCCCACAAAGGACAAGGTCATGCAGCAGCCACATTTCCTGTCCTGTTGGGAGAAACATACACAGAAATGACTTGATTGTGAATTCAGGGGAGAGCAGTTAATTCTGATCAGTCATTGAACAGGACTTCATGAAAAAGATGGTGTTTGATTTTGGCATTTGGATGGGATTTTGCCGATGAGAACAAGACCAGAGAGGACAGTTTAGGTTGAAGACACAGAATGTATAAAAGTGGAGAGGTCCAGGCGCAGTGGCTCACACCTGGTACAATCCAAACACTTTGGGTGGCCCAGGTGGAGGATCGGTCTAGCCCAGGAATTCGAGACCAGCCTGGTCAACATAGTGAGACCCCATCTCTAAAAACAAAATAAACAAAATTAGCCAATTTTGGTGGCAGGCACCTGTAGTTCCAGCTACTCAGGAGGCTGAAGCAGGAGGATGCTTGAGCCTGGGAGGTCAAGGCT